CTGCATGGAGCCTGCTTCTCCCTCTGCCTGTGTCTCTGCCTCTCTCTCTCCCTCTGTGTCTCTATGAATAAATAAATAAAATCTAAAAAAAATTAATAATTTGCTCAATTCCTTAGAGCTAATTTGTGTAAGAATTAAATTAAATTTAGGTCTGTTTGAAACCCCAGTGAAGTGGAAGGAGTGTAGGTGATGAACTCAAACTGCCTTTAATTCACTTAGCTGTGGTTGCTTTTGTGGACAGAGGGTGGTTTATACATGTTCTTTTTTTTTATTACTTTTTTAATTTGAATTCAATTTGCAAACATATAGTATAACACCCAGTACTCATTCCATCAAGTGCCTTCCTCAGTGCCCATCATCCAGTTACCCCATCTCCTCAGCCACCCCCTCTTCCACAACCCTCCAGTAACCCCCGGTTTGTTTCCTAAAATTAAGAGGCTCTTTTGGTTTGTCTCCCTCTCTTTTTGTCTTTTAAAATTTTTCCTTCCCTTCCTTCTATGTTCATCTGTTTTGTTTATATATATCTTTATCCATTCCACTCTTCTGTCAATGGACATCTGAGCTCTTTCCATAGTTTGACTATTGTGGACACACTGCTATAAGTATTGGGGTGCATGTATCCCACAGAATTACTGCTCTCACTTTTGGATAAATACCTAGTAGTGCAATTGCTGAGTGGTAGAATAGCTCTATTTTAACTTTTTGAGGAGCTTCCATACTGTTTTCCACAGTGGCTGCACCAGCTTGCATTCCTATCAAGAGTATAAGAGGGTTCCCTTTCTCCACAACCTCACCAACATCTGTTGTTTCCTGAGTTGTTAATTTTAGCCATTCTTACTGATGTGAGGTGGTGTTGAGACTCTTAAGGATAGAGGACAAACTGAGGATTGATGGAGTTAGGAGGGTGGCAGATGAACTAAAAAGGGTGATGGTTATTGAAGGGGGCACTCGTAATGAGCACTGGGTATTATATGTAAGTGATGAATCACTAAATTCTATTCCTGAAATCAATATTACACTATAGTTAACTAGAAAAAAAAAAAGAATGATGGAACTGGAGGGTATCCTGCTGAGTGAAATAAGTCAATCGGAGATGGACAACCATCATACAGTTTCACTCATACGTGGAATATAAGAAATAGTGAAAGGATTATAAAAGAAAGGAGGGGAACTGTGTGGGAAAAATTAGAGAGGGAGACAAACCATGAGAGACTCCTAACTCTGGGAAACAAACTGAACGTTACTGGAGGGAGGTGTGTTGGGAGGATAGAGTAACTGGTGATGGGCATTAAGGAGGGCACTTGATTTAATGAGCACCAGGTGTTATATGAAATCAATGACTCACCAAAATTTACCTCTGAAACTAATAATACACTATATGTTAATTAAATGGAATTTAAATTTTAAAAATATTTTTTATTAAAAATAAATTTATTTTTTATTGGTGTTCAATTTGCCAACATACAGAATAACACTCAGTGCTCATCCCGTCAAGTGCCCCCCTCAGTGCCCCTCACCCAGTCACCCCCACCCCCGCCCTCCTCCCCTTCCACCACCCCTAGTTCGTCTCCCACAGTTAGGAGTCTTTCATGTTCTGTCTCCCTTTCTGATATTTCCCACTCATTTTTTTCTTCTTTCCCCTTTATTCCCTTTCACTATTTTTTATATTCCCCAAATGAATGAGACCATATAATGTTTGTTCTTCTCCGATTGACTTACTTCACTCAGCATAATACCCTCCAGTTCCATCCACGTTGAAGCAAATGGTGGGTATTTGTCATTTCTAATGGCTGAGTAATATTCCATTGTATACATAAACCATATCTTCTTTGTCCATTCATCTTTCGATGAACACCGAGGCTCCTTCCACAGTTTGGCTATTGTGAACATTGCTGCTATAAACATCGGGGTGCAGGTATCCCGGTGTTTCATTGCATCTTTATCTTTGGGGTAAATCCCCAGCAGTGCCATTGCTGAGTGGTAGGGCAGATCTATTTTTAACTCTTTGAGGAACCTCCACACAGTTTTCCAGAGTGGCTGTACCAGATCACATTCCCACCAATTCTGCCTGAATTTTATTCTTGGCCGAGAGGGATATTTAATATCTCGCTTAGGCCTTGTGAGTCATGAGGTGATGATCTTGGAAGTGGAAACTTCATGTCAGGAGAATGGAGAAAAAGGTGAAAGAGCCTGGATGGCCCATGGTCTTGTGAAGTCCCTAAACTCATTTTGGATACCTAACACCTGAATTTTCCAGGTGAACAAAAATTGACCTGTCTTCTTTAAGCCACCATTCTCATTGTTGTTGTTGTTGTTGTCATCATGTAGTCAGAACTTATTCAACCTGAAATACCAGTCAAAGTGTGTATTAATGTAGAATGGAGGCATAAGATGTCTCTATTTTACTTATTTCTCATGTACTCTCTCAGGAAGCCCCTCTGGGGTGTATGCTACCAGAATGAGGTCTTTAAGAAGAGCGAGGAGTAGGACCCAGGAAACAGGCTCTGTAATCCAGGAGAGTTGAAGTTCTACCATGAGGATGGTGAAGGGAAGTCCCCAGTGCTGCTGGATATGGCCCTGGAGCCTAGAAACACTGGTACAGAGGCTGAGGCCTTTCTGAGCCCCCACAAAGGAAAAGCAACTACTTACAGGATGCTTAGGATGAGCGGCTTCAGCTAGGGGTGCATTCTTTGACTCTACCCTCTTAATGCCAGTGTGTTCCCATTTCTGTCCCAGGTAGAAAGAGAAATAGAAGAGGTGACAAAAAGTGTACCATTCTGATTGTCAAGGAACTGTCCTCCTTAAAGTGACATCCTTTTTGGAATGCCCCAGATGAACCAAATAAAATGCCTTCAGATGTTCAAAGGGACGGAAATAAGAAGATGCCTTTTAAAGAAGAGTGTCAAAACTCCAAAGTTAAGCAACTGTTCACCTGGGCAACACATCTTCTCTCCCTTCCACATCTAAATGACCCAGGATTGCATTAGACAAAAATCTTTGTTCTTACAAAAAAAGTAACCTCTATTGACTTTTCAGAGCTTCACCTGTGTCTGGTATTTCTTAAAAATCACCAGCTTCAAATAATCAGTGTGCCAAAGAGGCATAACTTGGCTTAGCAAAATTTTCTCCCCTTCATAAGAGACATTTACATGGATGAGGATATCTCCATTTGTAAGGGTTTCTCTCTCTCTCTCTGTAAGTGAAAGAGGAGGATGACTTTCAACCTCTATAAACTCTTTTTATCAGTGGAGCCTGTAGGAGAAATCTGTATGACAACCATACCATTGTTCACTGTGCCTTCCTCGTGACCTCTCATAACTGATCTGCCCCTTCCTTTCCACATCTTTTGTCTTTAGCTGCAGATGATATTTAAGGAGATGGCTTGGATCATCTGGGGAAGTGACTCAGTTTTCCTTGTCTGTATTCCTTTGAGTAGACTTGTGTTTCCTTTTCTCCTGCTTATCTGTCTCTTGTAGCAGGGGGTCTTAGCCATGAACCCAGAAGGATAGCGGGAAACTGCTTTCCTTTCCCCATAATATCTAGGATACCCAAGGGAACAACACATTCCTTCCATGTCCTTCCCCTAGGGGTCTCTAACCCTTTATTCCTCTCTACTACTTTTGTTGAGAAGGAATAGCTACTTTCACTAGATAGCACTCCAAGTGCTCCTTATCCCTGAAGATCAAGACAAAGCCCCACTCCTGCAGGATGGTTCCCTGAGACCCCAAGTCTGAGCTCTAAGACACTAACTAGGGTTCTGGTAGGCCTTAGTCCCTTGCCTGGCCTCAGTCTATTCTGTATCCCATCCTGGAACCTTACCATGGGCTCTGTAGTTGATAAGTGTAAGGTGCTGACTCATCCCATCTAAATGAGAATATCTCATTCTCTAGACCAGAAAGAGGCACAGAGATGAACACATTGTAGGGACTTTATAATCCCCTCATCCACCGGAAGTTACATCATTAAAATGACCTTCAAGATACTTATGGTAGAAACTCAAATACATACTAGGGGGACAACATGGGCTGGAAAGCCTGCCTTGCATTACCAGACAACTCAATATATGGGTAATATAGCCAAGTATAAACTGCCAGGCAGACAAAATAGGCTAGAGTATGGAGTAAGAGGATACAGACACAGCAGAAGGAAGGATCATTCTGGAAGCTCAGAGTGCCCACCTTGGGGGCAGTAATGCCTACTCTAATGACAGGGGGATGCTTGCTCCATTGGACAGTGATGTGGAGAGCAGGGTATTGGGTCTTTCTTGAGGTGTTTGGCTCTCTATTATTAGATAAATCGGAGACTGCTGTGAGTTCACCAAACCCTGCTTTGTATTGTTTTGGGAATACAGATAGATTATGTCTGCCAGTCTCCTTTGCAAGTAAGAGGACTGTGTGATGACCTTATGGCAGACAGAATGTAGATAAAAATAGAGTTCCCTTTCTATGCTTGTCCCTTAAAAAGCTTCTATAAGAGCCTCCATACTTCCATTTTCTCCAATCTGCTGTCTGGTTGCAGATGCCACCCTGAATGATGATTGAGTTATAGATAGAAGGATGCAGGATTTTGAATCATACATGGCATGGGGTCATTCACTGCACACACTCAGTGAATTGAGAATAAGCTTTTACTTCATTTACTGGGATATTTATAAATCTCTGCATTTTTGTTACAGCTATGAGGTTATTGATTAATATATAGGTCTAACTGGGAAGGCAGAGTTGGGTGCCTATACCCATGGTGATCAGATGGGAACAACAGTTGGTCATCATAAAACAGAAGGTAACCACAGGAATGCAGCATAAGACAAAGCAGGGCCCTCAAGTTGGTTATCAGTTTATTTGGCAGACACTTGGACCTTCTCAGGACAGAGAGACCAAGGGGAGAATGGAAGGATCCTCAGCCAGGGCAAGTGAATAACCCAGTAGGGAGCCAGGTAGCAGTCTTCTTAGGTTAAACTGTCATCCTCTAGTCCACACTAGTGGTGGGCCTGCTAGAACCTAGGGGTTTAGCATGCTTTTAAAAGGTTCTCTGGAAGAGAAAAGTCAAGTGGTTAAAATGCAGGCAGCCCTGGGACAGCAAAACTTAATAGCACCCTGGTCCCTGTTAATGGGAACAGAAATTCTTTCTGTAAGATGAGGAGTTACCCATTTTAAGCAATTTCTCCAAAGAGATTTGCCAACTGGGGAGATAGGTGGAGCCCAGGACTCTTTGGGCCTGCCTGCCTCAAGGGGCCAACGGAAAGGCCAGACCAAGGAGGCAATAGTCTGGACCTTGGACAAAGGAGGGATGAACAAACCGATGGATGACTCTTTGGGGGAACTGAATGAGAGCAAAGGAAGAAAAGTGAGCCCCGCCTACATTGGTGCCTTGGGTTTTTTGCCCTGAATGGCAGCCTCAGTATAGAGATTAGAGTACATTGCCTTATGCTGCCTATTTCTTTGACCAGGATTTTGGTGACTCTGTTCCATGTTACAGCTTCTGAATGAGGGTGACCAGTACTGAGGAAGCATGTCCAAGCCCAACCTTCCCACTCCAACCAACTCACTCATTGTCCAAGCAGATATTTCCACAGAAGGTCCAGCAACATGTATGATTGGGAGATAAACACTCCTGTAATTTAGTGCACCTCTTCTTACAATACTTTAACAGAGGCTGTACCCAGCACTGCTCAGTGGCTCTTCTTCCAACTGGAACTGAGATGGTAGATGTTGGCAGATCCATCACCCACAACTTAGAGAAAGCACACACCTTTCCCAAGCTTAATAATCCTCAAGCTCTGAATCCTGAGCTCAAAGTCACAAACAAAATATTTCACTTCATTTTAAGAAAATCCTTTCCTTGAATTCTAGCTGAGTCTTTTCACAGGAGACCCTTGTTGCATCACATGCCTTCCCTCTTTCCACATGTCCCCATAGCACTGCAGGCCTTTGGACCCTCCCCTAGCTTCCTAAAGATACGACCCAGGACAACTTCACAACAATGGTACTACCTCACCAGTCTATTTCTTTAGTACTTGGGATTTCAGGGCCTGCAATATTCTCTAGCTCCACTTTCCATACCCAGTTTACAGAATGGAAAACTGAGCTGAGGGAGAATAGGTACTATCTTTCCCCTTGTCTCTTTGCTTCTGTGCTCATACCACCTAAGCACTCAACCTCTCTCTATGTTCCATATCTTTTACTAGCCCACAACCCTTCCTTCATTATCCCCTCTTTATCATCTGGCCCCAAACTTTGACTCCTAAGAATCCCTTTCTTGTCTTTTCCATTTTTTCATATTCTAAAAGATTCTTCCCTTCCAAGTAAATAATATTGCCCTTTGGTATTCATCAAAGGCAAGAGACCTGAAAATATGGACTCAGAGGGCAGCTCTGTGTTGGTGTTTCCCCTGTCTAAGGTAGTCTAATACTAGAAATTATCATTTCTGATAGCTTATGGGATGTACTTATAGGCAAAGCTAGGTTCCCTTTCCATATGCCCATTATCACTTTCAGATCTCAGAGGGGGATTTAGAGGGGCACCGAACTGGAAACATACATCCTAAATCTTTTGATATCCCTGCTTTAAGGAGGGTTGTGGTCCAGAAAAGGTAGTCCCACAATCAGTTACACCCGTCATTCCAGGCCTGGGCAGAGACCCCTCTCCCCATGTCATACCACCTACAAAAAGTCTTGTCCTTGACGCCTCCCAGCACAGGCAGAAGCATCACAAACCCATATGTGAGCATGATGTGTAGGAGAACCTGGGGCTTCATGGTTGTCACTCTGTGTGTTTGGGTTAAGTTCTGGCAGAAGACAGGTCTTCTCCTAATGCCACCTGAGGTAGAACAGGAGTTCAGGGGACTAGGATCAGAAGGAGATAGAAATTTCTTGTGAATATTGGGTTATTCTTTCTCCTATTTTTCCTTTTCACCCTCTGGCACCTAACAACGTATCAAGCTAGCCATTGGCTTCTGTAGACTACTTCCTCAACTCACGTTACAAGCCATTTCCTTTGCAAAATTGCTTCTTTTAAAAATCCATTTCTTTCTTTTCTGATTAAAAAGCAATAAATCTTCAGCTTGTATAATTTGTCAAACGACAACAACAAAATACAAAAAGGAAACAGATAAGCATTAGATTCCACTACCTAGGGATACCCTGTGTATGTTCGGCCTTAGAATTTCTATAAACTTGGAATAGCTGAACACATCAAGGATCCTGATTTTTATGTAAGAACATGTGTAATATTATAATACAATGAAAGTGTTGGTCCTGACCCTAAGCCAGAGTGCCAGAGTGATTCCAGAGTGAGTTATGGGAGATGGGTTACTCAGTAAGACTTGAGAAAGTTGATGGCCAGATATTAGTTAGTGGACTCTTAAAACTTTCATCTAAATAGATGACCCAAAGTTGAAGAAGTTGCAGAGGTTTTGAAGATTTTATTGGTAAGAAGATCTGTTCAAGAAGTGAGGAAGCTGTCTTCTGATTCCAAGTGAACAGAAAAGACTTTGTGGATACTACTCATAGAGCTTACTGTGCATCTCCAGAAGCTTGTAGTGATCCTGTAGGCCTGAAACATAACTGAAGACTTGGAAGGGTAAGAAATCTGGCTAAAGTGGCCTTCAGTACCAAAGAAGAGAACTGCAGTTGGGGTCCATCTGAATTGTAAATGGCTAGATGCCATTTTGGCATCTAGTTCATTCTTCAGTGAACCCTTGAAATCTCCCATGGAAGAGTGACAGAAGCACAAATCTAGCTTTTGATAGTAGTGTACTGTGTGAGAACTGTCCTACTCCTACTTATTGGTTCTTCCTGCCTCTACTACCTAGGAGACAGAAACTTTTTTTAGCCAGATAGATGTGAAGGAACAGAATCATGAAGAGCCCAATGTGGAGATACCACATCCTTTCTTATAACTAGAGCTTCTGAGGGAGGAGAGAGTCTACAGTTCTCAACAGTTTTGGAATTGTGGCTAATTACATGGGCCTGCACATTTAATTATTAAGTTGAGCTGTTTTGTGACTGGAGAGTCACACAATTTAGGGGGTCCCACCTAGTTTTCCTAAAGAGGCAAGGAAACAACTAGCCAATCTGAATAAAGCATACAGGCAAGAGAGACAAAATAATATGATCACATCACACAAGTCATGCCAACAATCCAACTATCAATATCACTATCATTCCTCCATATATGGTGGTAATTGTTAAAGAGAAAACAATGAAGCAGAAGAGGAAATAGCCAGCTGACAACTGGCAGCTGAGGTGGGGGGTGGGGCACGGACATAGGCCTTGGAAGCAGAGCGTTAATTACTGCTAAAATTCCCAGAGCTCTCCCATCTGCCCCCTTTAGCCTTTATCTGCTGCTTCACCATCCTGAAATCAAAGAGGAAGAAAAAGGAGGGATGGCGGGACCGCAGAATCGCAGATATGACTGAGGCTGATGTAAATCCGAAGGCCTACCCCTTTGCAGATGCCCACCTCACCAAGAAACTACTGGGCCTTCCTCTCCATCCTCTCAGGATTCATCCTCTCTGGTGAATGGAGCAGTCATGTAACTACAAGCAGCTTCAGAAAGGAGCCAACGAAGCCACCAAAATGCTCAACAGAGGCATCTCTGAGTTCATCGTGATGGCTGCAGACGCTGAGCCCCTGGAGATCATCCTGCACCTTCCACTGCTGTGTGAAGATAAGGACATGCCCTACATGTTTGTGTGCTCCAAGCAGGCCCTCGGGTGGGCCTGTCGGGTGTCCAGGCCTGTCATCACCTGTTCTGTCACCATCAAAGAAGGCCCCCGGCTGAAGCAGCTGATCCAGTCCATTCAGCAGTCCATTGAAAGGCTCTTAGTGTAAACCACTGGCCTCTCAGTGAGTCCTCCCCCTGGGGTTGTGTATCATATCATCTGTGTTCGCATGTAGTTTCTCCAGCTACCTTCTCTTGTTATATTCTAGTACTAAATCCGGGTTTTGCATTTTTGTATTATTTTTGTTTTACAGGTTGTTATCTGTATATTAATCCCCCACCCCACCTCCATCTCCCATTCTACTCTCTCTCTACCATCCTATCCTCCCTTTTGAAAAATGAACTAATGCCAAGAACAGGCAGAAACAGAGTGGTGACACCATTCAGAGGCAGGAAGAGCCTCGTCAGAGATCTGGTTTGAGCTCACTGCCTGTTTTATGTAGGACATGATGGATGTAAACACCATTCACTTTGTATCCTTTGTGCCTGGAGTACAAAATGATGCCATAGGTGTTTGGTCTCTAGGGGATTATGAATCATTAGGGGAGAAAGCATGTATTCTTTGAAGGTGTTAGGTGTGTGTTCAAGTGTCATTTGCCAAAATGCTCCTGCTGTTTGCTAGGTAATGTGATGTTGTTCTCCTTTCCCCCAAATCCCAACCATGCCCCTGAGGGCGGCAGGGCAGCAGCATACCAAAGAGATGTGCTGCAGAATTCCAGAGGCTACCTGGGTGAGTTAGACATGGGGCAGCTGATGTAAGGAGTTGAGAAGTGGCTAGAAAAAAAAAAAAAAAAGAGGGTCCACTGACACTGGAATGAAGTCTGAGCAAATCATGGAGACCTGACTGGAAGCTATAGCAGAGACATTGGAATCAAGGAAACATCCTTTCTGGTGAATGGAGTTGCCTTCAATGGATACTTGGTACTAGCTCTGAGAGCCCTTATGCCTGTTTCCTGCCAGAATGTGGGTCAGGGTCAGATGTATGTATTCTTTATCACATCAGAAGGACAGTACTAGTGTGTCATTCTTGTGAGCATCCTAATAAAGAAATATATTCATATTCCGAAATAAAGAGGAAGGAAAATAAAAGAGCCCAAGAGAAGAATAAAATTCCAATGTTATGAATTACATGGCCACAAGGCAGTGACTGTCCTTCTCCCTAGAAGTCTTTATATTTGTTCAGAAGTTTTCCACCAAGCAGAAAAGCCTCCCCCGCACTGTCCAGTAACGATAGCCGCTACCCACAAGTGACAATTTTAATTAAATTTAAAATCTGACTTCCATTCATTTCACACATTCAATAGCCACATGAAGCTAATGGCTATTATGTCGAACAGCTCAGACATATAACATTTCCAACATCCCTGAGAGTTCTAGTGAAAACAGTGCTCGAGATGAATCAAGGAAAATTCCTCTGCTCAAAAGCAAGTGTTGACTAGAGATCATTTAAAAAGCATAAAATTTTTCAAAGGCAGTTTTGAAAATGTATTCTTCTTTCAGAAAAAGTGAAATTTAGAAGCTGGAAAAATGCAAGTTTTAGGCATATGAACATTTGACACATTGACTGTGAACAGATTAGATTTAGAAGACCTGAGGAGGAGCTACTGCCTTCTCCATCCCGTCTGGGCCTTGGGAAGCCCCAAGCTAAGGCAGGCTGGAGCAGAAGATATCCAGCCCTCAGACTGCCCCCTGCCCCTCCCAAGTAGATCCCAGCCAGGAGCTGACAAGAGTGGGGCTGGGCTTTTACAATTGAGGCAGCCCCAGAAAGGCTGCATGTCCTCTGGAGAAGGGGTATTCAACCCGGGATGCTCCAAGCCTGGGGTGGGCTGGACCAGGGAGGGGGCCCTGGGTGGGGAGTCAGCTCTACCACTGTCCTGCTGTGCACTCCGGGAAGCATCTCTGCCTCCGTGGGCCTCCTCCCCTGTGAGGTGGAGAGGCCCGATCAGGGCGTCACAAAGGCCTTTCCTGGGATTCTTTAATTTTCAGACACACATAGATATGAAACTTAGGAAAAAGTTGAAGTAATGGAAAAACACTCACACATAAAAAGCAACACACTAACTTGTATCAGGATTGAAACCAATATGTTTAGGATTCTTTGTAGTCATAAAGTCACTTAACTGGGCTTCCTCAGAAAGTTGTACCTCCTTAGCATAACCTTTTCACCTTCCTCCCCCGTCTTGGCCCCTTCTCTGTGGATAAGCTCCCACAGCTCTGGTGGAGGCTCAGTCTGAGCACTACCCCAGACCTGGATTCCCTCCTTTGACTGCAGTGGGGTGGATTTCAGACCCCCCACCTTCCAATAGCAGCAGCTAGGTCACCTGGAGTTAGGGAGGAGGAGAGAGACCCTCCTGGGAGTGGGAGTGGTTTGGGCACCACCAGGGCCCAGTGGGCCCATCCTGGCCCCTGAGGCCAGCACCAGACTTGTCTGCCCAGAGTGACGACACCTGGAAGACAGAATGTGCAGGCATCAGACTACAGGGAAGCCAGGACCCCCGCCCGTGCCCTTGCTCCTCCCAGGAGAGTTGAGGCTGAGACCTCAGGCACTCGCCCACCCCTGCTCTGCTACATTACCTCCCTGGGGGAGGACGCCAATCTTGAATATTTATTGAGTGTATTTATTTGATTAACATTCCATTTAGTGGGCATTATCTTTGGAACAGTGATCAAATGTGATACGTGTCACATAGATTTCTTGGTTCTGGGCTCGGCCTGTGGCTCAGAGCTCCACTGGGGCCTCCCTTTGACATCCCACCTCACCCCCCTTTCCAGCTCCCTTCCTATCTTGACCTCTGGCCCTCCTGGAGCGGGGAGCATTGAGTGTGGGTTGTACTGCAAACCCAATCCACGTCTAGTGGCCAGTGAGTGGTGGCAACATCCTGGCTGAGGCCCAGGCTGCTGGCTGCCACTCCCCTACCCACCCAATTCCCATGTACTCCGTGGGTGGATTGGGGGCACAGAAGGGGGGACTGGCAGCTGCTTGGAGCTACAGCTCTGCATCATGGACTCTGAAAACTACATCTTCCTGAGACC